ATATCTACCTCTATATATATCCATTTATCCCTTTATTTTTCTCTATTCTATATATTGTTTGTCTGCCTGTCAACTATATCTATCCTTCCATCCATCCATCCATCCATCCATCCATCCATCCATCCATCCATCCATCTATATCTATCTCTATACCTACATATCTGTATTTATATCCATCCATCCGTTCATCAATCTTTCTATATTTTATATATTGTCCGTCTTATCGGTTTGCCTATCATCCATCCATCCAATCTGTCTCTTTCTCTGTTCTTTTTTTCTTTTTAGCTGGGGCAAAAGGCATATGATCCTCCGTGGACAGGAACTTGCGAGTTTTGTAACCCCACTACCTTGTAGCTTTAAAGCTTCTAATTTTCCTTCTCATGGCCTGGCACCCCCTGCTAAAGATCGGCTGCCAGGAATCCGGGCCAGTTCTCTGCCTGATTTCCCCCCCCCCCCCCCGGGGGCTGCTTGCAAACAACGCCGTGCCTCCTTCCTTCAAGTGTGTGTGTTTTCTGTCTAGTTTCTAAGCTGCGGCAGCTATAACCTGGGTTTGCCTCGGCTCTGCCCCTGGGAACGAGGCACATGATGCCTGCAGGAGCTGGCCTGGCTTAACCTTTCCACAAACAGCTTCCTATGTTTTGGATGAGCTGCACATTTGCACGGACAAACAGCTTGGCACTCTGTGGCACGTTTGAGGTGCTCACGGCCCATTCCTAGGAGAATTGCAGAGGGAACTGCAGGGTTTGAAAAAGAGGGAGAGACGAAAGAACGCCCAGAAGCACCTAGCACGGCTCCCTGGATTATTATTTTTTTGCTGACTTTCCAAATGCAGAGGAGTTTGAAGATTGCACAAAAGTTTAAAATGTCAGATTCAGCTACCTTGTTTTTTTCCCCCCAACTTCTAAAGACTTGTTTGGGATGAAGTTAGGAGATCCTTGGCAACTTCCAGACCAGAGTTTCTTGTTAACTTTAAGATGGTGGACTTCAGTTCCCAGAATTCCCCAGCCAGCTTGCTAGAAGACAGGTGGACTTCAACTCCCAGAATTCCTCAGCCAGCTTGCTTTAAGACAGGCGGACTTCGACTCCCAGAATTCCTCAGCCAGCTTGCTTTAAGACAGGT